CGATATTTAAATTGTCGTTTATTTTTCTTCAATGATATATTTATATGGATAATCATCCTTATTGAATTAATAAACACGACTTATCGTGGAAAAACATTTGTATCTARATAATCGGTAGCCATTATCGCGTTTAAAATAACTCGATTATGTTTTCACGATCATAACTTTCTCATGACGACAATATACTTATCAATTTCTTTTTCTGCTACTATAAAAGTGTACGTAATATCTTTTTACACAAGTGTATAATTCTTTGAAAATTCCTAAGCCGATAACGATCATAAATGACAAAGCAAATATAATCCCGTTTGTCAATATTTCAAAAATATTTGTCGCCAATTCAAAATAAAAACCTAAAATTTTCATAAATATTAATTAATTAATAAAAATAGTATAGTATAAAGTAATTAAATAATTAATTGAATGAGCTAAGAAAATATTTCAAATATGATTCTAATAAACATAGAATATTACATTTAATGAGAATGTGTCATATTCCACTTCGTATTACCCACATATATCATGTTATTACCACATCAACAATACTACCAAAATCATTTTATCATTGGTGTTATTTGCTCGGCGGTAATACTTATGACGTCACTCAGATACCAAGGGTACAAAATTAAGACCAATTTTAAAAGCGTTTTCTTAAGTCTGATATTTGGATATTTTATTATTTACTACTATTATTATTAAAAAAAAGTTACAGCAGACAATTATGACGATTCTAAAGTTATGGCAGACACTTTTRAAATAAAATCAAATTTCTAACGTATTTTAACAAATCTGACATTTTAATATGTTATTTATTATTAAGTATTAAGAAGCCTACATTTTGTACAGCAAAAGTTATTTTCAGTAATAACATGCGTCTGAGTATGTGCAATAGACGATAACAATTTTCAGGATTGAGATGGGCCGTACAAAAAGTAGGATTTTCATTAGATGAGGAAAATATGATAGTGGTTATTTAGGTTGRAAGAAACTGAGCAGGACTAGTAGAAGTCGTACTTGTCATAGCTGAATCATGACATGTGGGAAGCGGTTGAGATGTTTCTAATCGAGAAATAATATCTTCGATCCAGTTTATATGAGTGGATATACGCGTGTAAAGAGAATACGAATTACTATCACAAATCGTTGTACCGCCCGTTAATATTTTACCAAGAGAGAGACTAGTAATACCTCTTAAAAACCATAGATTTCCAGTTCTAAACACCAATCCACCTCCGCTGTCACCATCGCAGACAGCTGTTCCTAAAATACAGAGAATAATTGCTAAGTACAGTGACTAACGAAAGTATATGAAGTGTTCTTTATTACACTAATTATAATTATTAAATATTTTATGGTAACTGTTCAAATACTTTCGTGAGTCACTGTATAATTTGTAAATATGTTCATTTTCCCATATTAATTTTGATTCTATACCCACCATTTGTATAACCAGCACAAAAYTTATCCATCGTTATGAGATTTTCAGATTCTACAAAATTTTTATAAGATTTGCATTGATTAAGAGGAACGTAGGGCAATGATACAGATTGCAGAACAAAACTTGTTGGTCCTTCATGGGTTCTTCCAAATCCTGAAGCTATCCCTAATCCAGTCTCAATTAAATCACCATTTAAACGCGCCGGTTGTAAAGAAGATGACAGTACAAATGGCCTTTCGATTTCCAAAAT